TATCATATTCCTCCACCAGATGCTTATTCTTCTGAAACCAAATTTTGCAATAACACCGTTATAACCTCGCGCTACACACTATTAAATTTTTTCTTTAAAAACTTGATAGAACAATTCCATAAAGTGTCAAATTTTTATTTTCTTATTATTAGCATAACTTACTTATTTAGCACTTCCGCGATCTCACCGATTAGCGTTATCGCTCCATTAGTAATTGTCGTTGGTATTTCTATGATCAAGGATGCAATTGATGATATCCTTAGACATCGTGCAGATGCGGAATTAAACTCGTCCTCATGCCTTAAGCTGAATAAAGTCTCGGATCAGTCGCTTATCTGGAAAAATGTTCGATGTGACAAAATCCTTGTTGGTGATATCATATGTTGTCGGGCAGAAGAGGAATTTCCATGCGATCTGTTGGCCCTTTCATCGAGTGAAAACAATGGCCTTGTTCAAGTTACGACTGCTAACCTGGATGGTGAAACGAACATTAAGAAGTTTTTCTCCCATTCCTCTACCCAATCCTTACTGTCAGACTTCATAGGAGAAGACATGACCACAGAGTGTGCGGCGACTAGTACGGTGGATAAAATTCCCATCGCTGAGATCATTTGCCAACATCCTGTCGATGACTTATCAACTTTTGAAGGTAGAATAAGACTTTATTCAGGAAATTCCGAAAACTTCTCCGAGGAGTCACTTTCAATCGATAATTTGCTTCTGAGGGGCGCTAGACTGAAACATACTAAGTATGTTGTAGGCCTAGTAGTATATACTGGTCGTGATACAAAGCTTTCTCTAAATAGTAAAGAAGTAAAGCGTAAATTCTCTTCTATCGAAGGAAGACTCAATGAAGCCTTGTTGTTCTTCATTTTTATTCTCATAATACTACTTATTATTCTGACTGGATGTACCTTTAAAACGCCTGATAATACATTTTGGTATTTGCCGCATAGATTAAGAACAGCTTGGACAATAGTCCAAGATACTTTGTCTTTTCTTTTTATAATGAATTTCCTAATCCCTATCTCCATCATAATCACCATCGAAATCGCCCAACTTTTTGCTGCTCTTTGGATTTCAAGTGATATCCAAATGTATGACCCATCGAAAAATATACGGGCTCGTTCCAATACGACACAATTAGCGGATGAACTCGGACAAATTGAGTTTCTTTTTAGTGATAAAACCGGTACACTCACAATGAATCAAATGATTTTTCGCGCATGTACGGTTCTGCGATCTTCTCGGACTTATAAAGTGTCCCTCGACTGGGGTCTCTTTGAAACCCCTTTGCAGAAAAAAACTAAACTTAAGCTAGAAGATGCATTGATG